TTTTTAGATCCCTCCATAGTCATCTATGTGGGGAGGATCACCTGCCAAGCCTCCTCCCCTTCTCCTGGTTTTCATACGTGTGAATATAAAGATTTAATAGTAGCAGCCAGTAGCTATGATGCCTTTACCACATACTAAGCACTCTATTTCCTCACTGAATTTTCACACCCCTAAATAGTTAGTGCTGTTACCCCAATTTTACATAGGAAACTGAGGCTTTAGGGGCTGTCATTTGCCTGAGGGCAGCTTGTTATCACTGGTGTGTGTGTGATCTCCAGACCTGGAGTGAAGACACCAGCACATATGCGAGGTGTTGGTCATACTGTAGGCCCCGGGTGACAGTGAAGAGTCAGTGCCTCAGCCTCCCAGTTGTTGGAAAGTTTCTCGCTGTGAGCACAGGCTAAGTCATTGGACCTGGCTTCTGTGGTTGACTCTGCACCTGGTGGCTCTGGGACACTGACAGGTAACTTACCTTCCGCCTCCCTGTCCTGACTCTGAAATGGGACTCCAGCTGGCTGCCTACCTGCGAAGCAGGCTGTGTGGGAACCGGATGAGATCGCTCACGATTGTGAAGCACTCGGGAAACTACGCAGTGGACTGCAGAGGGGAGGCTTGTAGGAGGACAGGCCGTAGCCGCCGTTCCACGCTCCTTATCAACCGCCCACCCACCGTCCTCCAGCCACATTCGCATGATTTTTGTTCATTACAGTGTTTAATCCCCATTCCTCAAGCAGCAGCCCTGGAGAGATTGTTCTAAATCTCTTGTTGTTCTGGCTTATTTAATTACTACTATGGCAACAACATTTTTTTTAGCTTCATATATATCATACTTCAGCCTCATTGCAGGTTAAATTAAGTTTTATGGGTGGGCCTTGGAACCCAATCAAAATGTATAGCTTTATTTCTCTGGAAAAATTGCTTCTAAGCTTCAAACAACTAATTACAAGGCAGGTTTTGGAACACCACCAGTTTGTGAGCTGGGGCCACTGTACTGTTCGCGTTGTTTTCTAATTAGTTCACGGAAGGGTAGCTGATCTCCCTACAGAGATTATAAACTTCTTAAGGGCAGCCGCTACATCTTGTGTGGCTCTCCCAGCAAGTGCCAAGCTCACAAGTGTATCCAACAAATACTTGTTTAGTGCCTCCAAAGCCCAGCTACCTTGTCTGCCTCCAAGAAATGGGTGCTGATAGGGTGCCTTCGGTCCCCCTGGGAACCTCTGCAGTAGTCATTAAATCATACACTATCCTCCTTGGTGACTTGCAGAGGAGGCCCAGGGAGGCACTGTATCCTGTCAGGGTTCATTGGGCTGAAGTGTAATTACAGTAGTAATGAGTGCCAACTATTGTAGTTTTCAGCACTTTGTACTGTTCTAGATCTTTTACATTTGTTAGCATATTTAATCTTCACCAAACATGTTTTGATAGATTTTATTATTAGATGAAGAGACTGAAGCCCAGAGAGGTTAAGCAGTTTGCCTAAGGTCACAGCTGATAAAAGTACAAAAGTGAAATTCAAAGCCAGGCAGCCTGGCTCCCAGGCTCTCAACCATTCGCCATCCTGCCTCTAGTCCATGAAGATCAGGATTAACGCCTGCAGTCTTGACTGCCACCCAGTGATCCTCTCAACCGGAATAGCCTGCGTGATAAGACAGGGCTGGCCTTTTCACTCGCTCCTGTCACATGATTGGTATGAAAGCCTTAGGGAGTAGTAAGCTAGGTACTTTTTAAAAATGATTACATATACTTTCTACAAAATCACAGTAAATATCTCTTGAAATTCTATCAAAAACTAAAAACTTGATCAACATTTTGGCAGACATTCTTATAGACGTCTTTGAATTCATATGTGTGTAGCTACATATTACAGTGTAATGTAACTGGAACCTCATTCTGTAACCAAGGAAGTGGTGCTATGTCTGTCAGCATTGGACACGTGAGAAAATTACAGCTCAGGAAAGGGGACCGACTTGTCCAGTGGAGAGCCAGCAAGTGCCAGGGGTGGGGCTTCAATCCTGTATGGGGTTTTGTGGGGTGAAGGTGGGGGGGTAAGTACTCAAAGCAAAGACCACATGGACTTTTTGACACCGTTGCTCCTGTTCAGACACTTCTTCCCAGCACCCAGCCCTGCCTCTGACCAAGGGTGTGGGTGCCGTACCCTTGGTGCTCCCTTGTCTTCTGGGAATGTTGCCTACCAGAAAAGAGATTCAGGGTGGCCCTGACCGGGCAGCTCAGTTGGTTAGAGCGTCGTCCTGATATGCCAAGGTTTCAGATTCGATCCCCATCAGGGAACATACAAGAAACAACCAATGAATACATAAGTAAGTGGAACAACAAATCGATGTTTCTCTCTCTCAAATAAATTTAAAAAAAAAAAGAGATTCAGGGTAAATGTCGAGTAGGAATAGTTCTACAGCCCTCAACAAAAATGTCAGTCAAGCCCAATCGAGCGTGGTTCAGCAGTTGAGCATCCAGGAGATTGCGGTTTGATTCCTGGTCAGGGCACATGCCCAGGTTGCGGGCTCCATCCCCAGCAAGGGTTGTGCAGAAAGCAGCCGATCAATGACTCTCTCATCAGTGATGTTTTTCTGTCTCTCTCCCTCTTCCTTCCTCTCTGAAGTCAATAAAGATATATATATTTTTTAAAAATAGCAGTCGAGCTGTTGAGTGGACTCAGGGTGGTGGTGGTTCCTGGCCGTGTGGAGTCTTGGCTACGCAGCCTCCTGCAGGGTTGCATAGTGATTGCAAATTTGGCTCAGCCATCAGGACGGTTCCACTGCCACCTTCCCCTCCAGCAGCATTTAACACTGTTTGGAAGCAGTTGAGGGGAAGTAGAATCTGATATTTGGGGGAGAGATGCTCATTACCTCATCGTAACCACCTTCCCTTCCTACTGATACTTTGGTCATAGGGTTGGTATCCAGTTTTGCTGAAAATGAAATCATCTATTCAACTCTCAGTCTGTGTTAGTGAAAATGAACTCTCATGTGATTAGATATTAATGTGATGTAATGTAGGATTGGTATTAAATTGAGGCCTTTGGATCTTATTACTCCACAAACGCTCCCTCCGCACAGGCCGCTGCCCTGCCTCCCCAAGCAAAGTGAGGGACAGTAGTGCCAAAGCGCTGAGCCCACTGTAGAAGCCTGGTGTAGTGTCAGGGAGAAGGGCAGAGGGAGATGGTGAGAGTGGAGGCAAGTGAAAGGACCATGACCCCAGTAAGGCCTGGCTTCCTTCCCTGGGCCTCGAATCCTCCTTGTGGAGGGAGGAGAGGCTGGGCCACATGAGCCTGGTTCAGGCCTGCCTTCACTCTCAGGGCCACCAGTGGGTTGCTGAGGACCCTGAGCCCACAAGGATGTAAAGGGTCACCTTTCCATCCAGAAGCACATGAAGATTTTTTTGATAGGCCTAGGGCTAGAAAGCTAAGAACAAAATCTTTACCTCCTCCGCTCCCACCCCTCTCCACCACAATCCTTCTTGTGAAACTGACTTGAGCCTAGTAGTTGTCCCTGGCTGTTGTCACTTATCCTAGGCCTGTTTCTCTTTCCTGGATGGAAGGCCCCACAAAGTGGACCCCTCCCTTCTCCATACCTGCAAGAAGGACAGGAGTCTGTCATCAGTTCCACAGCTTAGCTGGGAAGTGACAGGTAGGACTGTGAGAGCCCAGGCCCCATGTGGAAGCCCACAGCCCCTGTGGCCCCCAGGCCCCAACCCACCTGGCAGACTCCCCAGGGAGTCACGTGCGTCTGGGAGCAAAACAGTTCCCCACCGAGAGAATGGGCCAGGAGTGGAAGCTCTGGGGATGGTCAGATGACATCACCTTCACGTATGAATAATAGCGTTCGTACAAGGAGAGTGATTTTTCTTGTGCTGTTTCCAGAAAACTGCTTTTGGAGGCACAGACTTTGCACACAGGATGGTAACGACTTTTTAATGACCTTAAGGGGCCTAGTGTCCAGGCAGCAGTGAATCAGTCTCAGTGGGAGACTCGTAGTGAGAGAATGGAACACCTGAAGCCAGAGGGGGAAAGCAAACCGCAAATACATACATTTTCTTCAGTAGCGTTACATGGTAATTAGACAATTACAAGAAGCAGCTTCCCAGCAGCTGGCGTTTCCACTGTGCAAGCGGAGGAGGGATGGCAACACGGTGAACTCCTCACATTTATTACAGAAAATATTATTGGCGCTTACAGTTGTGGGTGCCGTGCCTTCCTTCGGTGCATTCTGATGAGCTGTGAGCGTAAACCAGAAGCGGAGCTCCTCCTCTCAGGGCTCAAGGCCAGTGTGGCTGGGCTTTAAATGAGCTGGCCTAGCCCTGGCTGATCCATGAGGAACTGCCTTTAAAATATCGGGGCTGCTTTGGGGCCCACCCAGAGCCTAGGCAGTCCTCGGCAGTCCTGAGAATAAACCCGTCTGGGGTGCATTTGGAAGCTGGAAGGGAGGGTGGAGGCCTGTGGGAAATTGCCTCTTCCTCCATTGTCAGAAAGGAGAGCTGGGGTTCACCCGCAGTGAGTGACCCCCACTCCATAGCCCTCCTCCACCCTGCCCACAGACCTGGCCTGATTCAAAACTATCCTCTTCCTGGAGCCCCCCACTGAAGTCACTGCGCCCACTCAGGTGTGGCCATTCAGCCAGCAGCCCCTGAGCCTGGCCCGTTTCACAGAGGACATGTGTTGATGAACTCCCGCCGACCTGGGTCACTTTTGTATTTGGCCACACTCTTGTCAGGACATGAGCTCGTTGTGCACTGTGTGCCTGTTTGGGGGGAGTTTTATAAGAGTCTATGTCACCTTCACAGAGGGTAGGAGCGCTTTCTTTAATGATACTGTAGGCTCTGATGGGGACAATAGGTACCCGCTGCCTCCATATGTTCCTTTGGTGCAGCCCTGTCGCTGTCCCTGTCCCCCATTCTTACAGCATAGGTCTCCCGAGGACAGAGGACAGATGTACTTGGTTAACTGTGCTGTCTAACCAGGCGAATGCTTGTGCTTCCTCTCACAGGTCGTGGCAGTCAGTAACTTTTGAAAGACAGCCTGCCTCCTTCATCCGAATCGTTGGAACACACAACACAGCAAATGAGGTAAGGGCCTCGTTTCTTGAAAGACGCTGTGATATTTCGAGGTATACGAGTAATGCTACACCCCGAGTTAAGTGGAACTGTTTGTTCTGCCCGCTAATGGCCTGTTGTTCAGACAGCTTGGTACAGAAGAGAGTCCTGCTCCCGCACAGTGGGGATATCATTACCTTTTCTGAATGTCTTTTCCCAGCAACTGAAAGCCAACTCCTGTGGCTCTGCTTACTCCTCCAGCCTCTCTGCGAATCACAACCACAGGGACCTTGAGAGGTCAAATGCCCTGTCCTCAGAGTCCTCCCCCCTCCCAGAGGACAACTATTCAGAGGTCCCGTGGCCCTCTGAGTGTGGTTGGTAAGGAACCCCAGCCACGGGGCAACCAGGGCGCACAGCTGCTGGTTTCCTGTCTGTCTGCTGTACAGAAGTGTTTACGATCGAGCCCCTCCTTCCAGGCCTGCTCCTCCCCTGGCCCAGGCCTGGCTNGACCCTGTGCTGCCTGTACAGAGTGTTTACGATCGAGCCCCTCCTTCCAGGCCTGCTCCTCCCCTGGCCCAGGCCTGGCTCCCAGGGAAGGGTGCTTGGTGCAGTGGACCATGCTGTCTGTAGATGTTCCTTCACCTTTGGATTTAATGAGGGGAGAGTGGGCAAGCTGTTGCCCCATTTTTGGTACTCAAAGTCTGGGCGGCGGTCAAGTGAGGTGCCTGGGCCTCAAACAACACCATGCTGTTCTGTCTGGAAGGGAAATGGCTCAGGAAAGGGCACGGGGTTCCTCTGGATCGGAAAAGAGAAGACAGTGCCCACAGGGACTGGACACCTGAGTGTGAGGGACGTGCTAACAGTGACTGCAGCAGGACTGCCAGTGCAATCCAGGGTTGAGCCAGGTATGCCTGGGCTATTGTCCCGTCAACAGTATGGAGTCGCATCGCGCTCACAGAGGCACCCAGGGTTCACTCACACAGTCGCAGGTGAGAATAGCGTCTGCTTCCATTTTGAGTTTAAAATAATCAATTCATAGTTGATTACTTACCTTTTCTGTACCTCAAGTAGGCACTGAGTAAGCACCAGTGGTAAGGGTTGGTGTCTGGCTGGTAACCCCACTGTTGGCTCAGTCTGCCCATCACATCCTTGCTTTCGTACAGACGTGTGTGCAGTATAGACCTCTGGAGGACCACAGGTTAGAAGGAGAATTGTGAGGAGCAGTGAGGTTGAAACTTCAGAGATAAAGGAAAGGCACAAAAATAGTGACAGTTCTGCAATTTCACCTTAACATGATCTTTCTCAGATCTGTGCAGGACCCTCCTTGCGGGCAGGAAACCAGGGCACTTGCGTGGGGTTCCGTGCCCAAAAGGGGGTCCTGTGTTTGAGGCAGAGTGCTCTCCAGCACCATCTTGAAATTCTTAGCAATTTTACCTGTAAATTTTTTTAAAAAGGGGAAGCTCCCTGGCACAGTGAAACACCGACCTGGGTCTTGGAGCCTCAGCTCAGACTTAGGCTCCTCCACCCCTTCTTGCCTTCTCAGGACGAGTTCTTAGCTCCCACTTCCTGACCCCTGGTGCTGGGACCTGCCCAGCCTCCTCCTTCTCAGTCTGCCCCACAACCACTGCCTCCCTCCACTCCCAGTGGGTGCTGGAGCGTTTGCAGAAAGAGTGAGGGTCTGCTGTGAACCCCATGTGTGAGTCATGGGACAGGGCCCCTGGGTACCTGTGACCCCCTGTCCTGGCCTAGAGTCCCCTGTGCCCAAGAGAGTGCCACAGTAAATAGCAAATGCAAACCCTGTGGCAGGTCAAGGGAGAGACTGGAAAAAAGCTTTTTTCCTGCCTTTTGAGCAAGAGGTTTCCACACATTACGTAGCTGGTCTGAGATTCGTACATTGTGTTTGTCAAATCAAATTCTCCAGAGCACGTCAAGGTGTACTTCAAACGCATGTTTAAAAGTGAAAATATTGTGCAAATTTATATTCATTTTGCTATTTTATTTATTTAGAATAAAAATGATACACAGCTACAGTGTGTTTCTTGCAGAGAACTTGTAAATAGAAGCCTGAATCTTTTTCTCTTATCTCTTTATTTCAAAACAAACCTGAAAATTATAATAGTACAATGAATGATTTTTTTAAAAAAATATATGTTTTTATTGATTTCAGAGAGAGGAAGGGAGAGGGAGAGTCATTGTTGAGAAAGTCATTGATCGGCTGCCTCCTGCATGTCCCCCACTGAGAATCGAGCCCGCAACCCGAGCATGTGCCCTGACCGGGAATCAAACAGGAAATCTCCTGGATTCTAGGCCGGATGCTCAACCGCTGAGCCAGCAAAAATGGATGATTTTTAAAGCACGAAATTAAAGAATTCTAAACGTCAGGTCATAAAAGCACTTTTTTGATCATGTAACAAAAGTAAATTTAAATCTACATTTTAATACATATATGATCCCCATATTTTAATTTTGCCAATAAATCCCAGTGTTTTTTTACCACTTAAATTTGTTAGCTAAAATGAAGTATATTTCATTTGCAGTACTTGTTTCTTATATAAAGCAAAAAAAGACTAGATTTTTCTTTAATTCCTAAGTGAGGTTCTGCAATTATGTAATACAACAAAAGGAATTCTTAAGTCTGAGAAGGCTGAGAAGCACTGGAGTGAGTCTGCTCAGGGTCTCAACCCCATCACCTCAGCGACCAGATAAAGAATAACTTCCCATCACCCAGCTCTAAAGCTGGAGTGCAAGATCTTCTCTCCCTGATGAGTTTCCCAAAACTCTGTACAGGGAGCCCTGACCACTGGCCCAGCCGGTTTGATGGGTCGGCTGGGAGGTCGCTGACTGTGATCTGTCACATTCGGCCCATGAGCAACTCGCTCAGCTGCCTTCGTGAGTCAGTTATTGATCAGGAAAAAAAGCTTTGATGTAGTGTTGCCAACGGGGAAACATCTTAAACCATTAAATAAATAGTGACCAGGTCATAAGGCAAGATCCATGAATTGTGTCATTCTCAGAGCATTACAAGAGACACAGAAACATTGAATTTCACTGGGCATCAAGCACATAGCAAACCCTCAAAGAGAATGTTCTTCACAACACATAACTGGGTTCTGGAACGTCATATGGAAGAAGTAGCATTACCTGTCTTAGGCACAGCGGGAATGTGTGTAAGTCGGTGTGGCAAAGAGGCGTGAGGGCAGGGGCTGTATTAGGGAAGGGGGTGACTCGGCTGGTCAGCAGGACTTCTGGCAGAGGACAGCCAGGAAAGGGGGCCAGGGCAGAGTCGGGGAGCCAGGATGACAGGGGTTCCCATGGGAGTGAGAACCATGCTGTCATGTCTCGTGGGGTCAGGCACCTGTGTCACAGTGGAGGGCAGTGTAGAGGGGAGCAGGGTCCCCTCAGCGTGTCACTGCTGTGTTCTAGGTGGCATAAGTGGCCTCCCTTTTGTCAAAGCCAGAGCCTGTTTCATGTAGACACTAAAAGACTTTGTGCCAATTTCAGAAGCATGGGTGGGCATGGTTTTTCCCATGGGAAGGTCAGCTTGTCTGTGTAATAACAGAAAGAGAAATGTAGGCGAATCACCTGTCACGTCTCCCAGGTAAGACTGTTTCTGCAGGTGCTGCCCCCTCCAGAGAGGCAAGGTCCAAGCAGGGGGTGTGGGGGAGAACATGTGGCGTGGAGGCTCTTACGAGTTGAAGGGCATTCAGAAGAGATGGAGTGGGCTGTTCTGGCAAAAGGTGGAAAGTGGCCTGCACAATGTCTCAGTGGCCACGGCGGCCGGCAGCTGTGCGACAGTGGCAATGGAATGTGCCCTGACCTCCAAACATCTGGCTGCTGTTGGAATAACAGAGCCCCCCCGCGCTGAACTAGATAGGGACTTCCTGCCCGATGTAGGCGTGTGTCTGTCCAGCTGAAGTTGCCAGGCCTTCCTGCAGGCAGGGCTCAGCGTCTGTCTGCTGCATGTTGATTTCCCTCCTTCTCTCCATGGGGCGGGAGCGGCTCACAGGTGACTGTGGCCGGGCGGCCTGCAGAGGTTCAGATTTCTTGATCACTGCTTTTGGCACGCTTCTGGTTTCCTGCGGCATCCCATCCATCTCCTCTGGGAAGTGTATGTCTGCTGCGGGCATCTGTCTCATCTTCCTTTGTGAGCACTGCGGGAATGAATTCATTTCATGTTTTAGCTACGTTTATGACTTCTGTCAATAAATTCCCTAAAGCCTATCTCTTAAAGACTGCACCACTTCCTCCAGTGACCTGCGCCCGTGTGCTCAGTGCCATCCTTGTCATTTACCCTAACTTCTTAGAACATTTTCCTTTCATTCCCCTGTGTGTATGCGTGTGTGTGATGCTCTGCTCCTCTCTCCCTGTGCTTGGCATACTTCTCACATGTCCAATGTTTTTCTCCTTTACCCTTGGACCCCTTTTTGCGCATCCTCTGTGCCCCACTCGCAGGGTTTCCTTTGTCATCCTCTCACACTTAGCACTAGATGGCAGATGCATGTCAGTTTGTCATCCAGCACATCCACCTTGTCCTGCTCACCTTCAGTTGTTTTCATTCCCGTGCTCCTTCCCAGCACCTGAGCCAGAAGGCCCTTCTTGGCTGTTTCCTCATTCACTTCATGGAAATCTGTCTCTAACTCAACAGTTGTATGGTCACTGGGCCCACCTGCCTCAACTGCTGATCAGCTCTGAGCTGCTCAAGAGGCAGACATGTCTTCCCATTCTCTCCTGTGTGGAGAAGGTTAGAAACTGGGCCTTGTTGACACCACTAATGTCACCGGATCTGGAGTTTCACCTGCAGTGACTGTCACAGAGCCTTACTGGTTCTGATGCCCTGCTGTTCACGGCCCCTTCATTTCAACTCATTGATTACCATAGCAAAGTGACAGGGTCACTCCTGCATCCTTAAAGAGAGCAAGCTGGGCCCACGTGAGGTCTGTCTGCACCTGTGAAAATAAGTCACTGTATCAAAAGAAGTAGAAGTTATGCCTGTTTCTTTTTGTGGCTTTTATGAAAACCTGGGTTTGAGAGCA